CAGCCAGCGCCACTACGGAAGTTAGGAATGTTTCCCACCCTGAGAAGAAAGCTCACGACGGGGCCGTGGATGTCCCCAGATGTTGGGATGAGGTTGCTGGTTTTGTTTGTTTGTTTTTATAAGATTTATTTATGGGGCCACCACTGTGGCACAGCAGGTTAAAGCCCTGGTCTCAGTGCCAGCATCCCATATGGGTGCCGGTTCGATTCCCGGCCACTCCACTTCCCATCCAGCTCTCTGCTGTGGCCTGGGAAAGCAGTAGAAGATGGCCCAAGTGCTTGGGCTCCTGCACCCGCATGGGAGACCAGAAAGAAGCTCCTGGCTCTTGGCTTTGGATTGGCACAGCTCCGGCCATTGCAGCCATCTGGGGAGTGAACCAACAGATGGAAGACCTCTCTCTCTTTCTGCCCCTGCCTCTCTGTAACACTGCCTTTCAAATAAATAAATAAATCTTTTTTAAAAAAGGCAGGGTTAGAGGGAGAGAGAGAGAGAGAGAAATCTGCCCACTGGTTCACCCCTCAAACGGCTACAACGGCCGGGGCTGAGCCAGACTGAAGCCAGGAGACAGGAGCTTCATCTGGGTCTCCCACGCTGGTGCCGGGGCCCAAGCACTTGGGCCATCTTCCACTGCTTTCCCAGACACATTAGCAGGGAGCTGGATCGGAAGTGGAGCAGCCGGGACTCGAACCAGCGTCCATATGGAATACCTAAAGACTCGGAAGGAAGGAGGGGGGTGGTGGGAGTAGACAGATGGCAGGGCGAGGAGGCAGGAAAGGGCCCGGTGCTCCTTGAAGGGGTGGAGAGAGGAGAGTCCCAGGTCCCAGCCCCACCCCCTGGCCAGCGTGCCCCAGGACCCTGGGCCACTCTTGTTTTTCAGCCTCTGTGCCGTGCGGCTGGAGGTGGGGGAATGGGCAGGGCAAGCTTCAGACCACTGCGGCTGGGAACAGGGCTGTCCCAGAGCTGCTCTGGGCGGGCGCCGCGCTGAGTGCCGAGATGTGGTGGCAGCAGGTCTGGCCCCTGGTCCGTGCTCTTGGCACATCAGGACGTCACGGAAGGCCGGAGCCACCCTGCAACCTTCAAACCTCTGCTTGCAATTCATGAGCTGTGCCGTGGGCCCGCCCAGGGCCTCCTGGGCAGAGGGAACAGAGAGGGCCTGTGGCCTGTGGGCAGCTCCCCTCCTCCCAGCTGTGTTTCTTGGCCTGCCACTCCCTCGCCCCGGCCCCTGCACCTCACAGCCCGCCCAGCCCCTGCCATCCACTTCCTGGGGCAAGGTTTGGCTGGAAACCCTGGCCTACCCCTTGCATTATCCAGGCCTGTGCCCGGGGACCCCCTTCCAGCTCCTTCCCTGCCGCATCCTCTGGCCGTGTCCTGCCCGCCTTAGCTCGCTCTACCCAGCATCCTGAGCTCCAGTCATAACGGCTGCCATCTGTTTAGGCATTGACTCGTGCAACCCATTCCACTGATGTGGAGACTGAGGCTCAGAGAGAGTCTGGTCATTTGTCCGGAGCCATGCAGTTCCTTAGTGGTAGCTCTGACGGTTAGTGCGGGGCCTGACACCAGGGCTCAAGACACAGGAGACTTGGAAGAACGGCCACCTCTGGGTCGGTGCCAAACCGAGCACGTGACCTGCTGGCCTCGTTTTCACGAGCAGGGCCTGGGACCCAGGACCCCTGAGCTGACCGCAGTCTCAGGTCCTAGAGGAGGGGTCTCTGCAGCCTTTGGGGTGGCTTCCCGCCAATCAGACAGGAGTGGGCGGCTGGGGGGCGGGTCCTGAGAGATGTTTATTTCTCTTCCCTGTGCTCTGCAGATGGCAAGGCCAGGCCTCCCTGGGAAGCCACCATCTGCTCAGAGTGAGTGGGGGGTGCTGGCAGGCCACCCTCGCCTTCCCACGCTGGGCACAGCACACACACCGAGGCAGTGGGCCCAACACGCTCTCCCTGGGCGCCTGCTGTGTGCTCCCTGAGCCTAGCCAAGGTCTGGGCAGGAGGTACGGGGTGGGGGGTCAGCCCCGCACCCCCGGAGGGCACCCAGGGGCCCCTTTCACAGAGCACACAGGTGGGACCGTGTGTCCAGGTGAGAACGAGCCGCACGCGTTCCTCGCAGCGCTGCCAGCCCTGTGCTGGGCACGGGAACGCGGCCGTGAGCTGGGGGTTCGCTGTCTGGACCTGGGGGGACCCATGGGTCCTTCCACTGTCTGTCCAGGTGCAGCTGGGAAGCTGGCCCGGGGTCCCGGTCCCCTCTCGGACCCCTCGCCCGCAGCTCCTTGCCCTCTCTGGGCCTTGGTCCCACACCCTGGATGACACCGGGAGAATGAGACGGTTTCCGTAGGCCTCTCTTCCTCGCTTCCCATCTGACATTTCACGGTCAAGGTCCTGAGATCCAATTGCAGTAGCCAGAGGAGGGAGGGAGGCGGGGGTTCTGTGGGATTCTGGAATCTCCTTAGGGTGAGGCTGCGGATGGGGTCTCTCCTCGGCGCCCCCTTGACCACTGAGCGCGTCCTGTGCGCCGGGCAGGGGCTCAGCTCTTCTGTGCAAAGCCTCCAGCAGAGCGCTCTGAGGCCCAGGTGCTGAGCGACTTGTCCTTGTGGCTGGGGCAGGGCAGCTGTGGGATTTGAACTCAGGGCCTGTACCCGCCAGCAGCTCCTCACTGCTCAGCCAGGGATTCTTAAACTTCAAGAGGAACATGCGAGGCCCTTGGGGGTCCCGATTGCAGTCCAGGTTCTGGACTGACCCTGGCTGGCCCGTGGGGTGTGTGCCTTAGCCAGCTGTCCGCTGAGTCCTGGTGGAGGGTACAGAGAGCCAGACCGGACCCGGCAGAGGGGGCTCCTCCTCCCACGCCCCCATCCCCGCATGGCCCCAGGAGATCTTGGTCCGAGGAGGGGCCCGCCCTCTAATCTCTGCCGCCATAAGCTGCTTGTCGCTTAAGCAGCCCGGGACAGGCAGCAACTTGGGGCAGGCTAGCCCTGGCCCCTGACCGCCCACCACCCTCTGTGGCTGGGCGCTGGGCTGCCCCACCCTCTGTGTGGCCCCCCCAGAGCCCTCCAAGGCGGGTGGGCCCATCTGCTCTGGGGGAGGCCTCTCTTGGAGGTCCATGTCCCTGCGTGGGGGGCTCTCGGTGGGGAGTCCCATCCTTCCCGGCCCCTGCTACGGTTTCTATGGCAACTGAGGTTGCCATGGTATTGCTGAGTGAGGATCTGGTGAGGCAAGAGTGGACCCCAGGCCCCCACGCCCATCCCAGACGTGGGAGGCGTCACTGAGTAAAGGATGGGAGGGATGCAGGCAGGAAGTCCCGCCCCCAGCGAGTCCCCGCCCTCCCTGTGCCCCCGGCCACCTCTGTTCAGCGCCTGCCTCGCTGCGTGGCATTATCTGTTTATTGGTCCGTTCCTCCTAGCACACTCGGAGCTGCTCTGGGTGGGGAGCCTCTGACTCATCATCGCCCGTCCCCAGGGCTCTCAGCACAGGGCCTGGCACAGGCCGGATTGAATTGCGTTCCATAAAAAACCCACGTCTGGCTCCATGGCGTTGCAGGGCGGCGGAGCCAGGCGGGGAAGTTCTCAGCCTCTGGGGTCCGACAGACACTGGGTTCGAATCCCAGCTGTGCGTGTGACCTGGGTGGTGGCTCTGCCTCCCTGCGCCCCTCAGCTGTAAAATGCGCCTGCCCCTGGCGGAGCACCGTTTGAGGGCTGTGAGTTCGTTCGGAACCTACTGAGCAGGTCTTGGGCGCTGAGCTCTGGGCTGGGCGCCGCGATGCCTGCATGGTGGACGGGAGGACACCGGCTCTGCCCTCCTGCAGCTCAGAGCCTGGCAGGAAAAGCACCTGCCTGGCACCCAGGAATGGAGAGGAGTTCCCGCCCGCCCTCCCAGCAGCCTCTGCTCCCCCCAGAGGTGGCCACGGTGAGGGACCCAAGAGCAGCCTTTGAGCCTAGGAGCCCTGGGCCTGTCTGTTGACCCTGGGCCCTCTGCCTCTGACCCTGGGGTGCAGGGAGCCCTGGAAGTGTGATTCAGCCACGGGCTGAAGGCAGGAAGCCTGAGTGTATCCCCCAGCCCCAGCCCCCACGGGCCCCCCCACCCCGGACAAGGTGGCCGCTTGCAGCTCTACGGCTCATTTCCCCTTTCCTGGGGATCCCATGACTGCCGACTTCACCGCCTGGTTCCTGGAGTGGCCTCCACCCTCAGGCTTGTGCCAGCCTGGGGGCGGTGGCTGGAGAGGGTGGGGAGTCGAGAAGCCGTGTGAAGACAGAGAACGGTCAGCCCAGAGGGCCGCTGAGGCCGGCGTCAGCGTGCACAGATGTCTGAGGCCTGGACTTCTGGTCTGGGATGGCCGTGACGGTGGCCTTCAGTCCAGTCCTTCGAACAGCCCTTCGGGTGGCCGGGAGCTTCCCCTGCAGGGCTGACCAGACCTGAGTCCAGGGTGGGCTCTGCAGGATACTGGTGCTGCAGCCTCCGTGTTCCAATCTGAGCAGTGGGGATGCTCATGGCATCCACCTGCTGGGGCTCCGGTGTGGCGTCGGGGGGTACTGCCCACAGGACGGCTGGCCCACAGCAGGCACTGGGGAAGCCAGCTGAGGCGCGGGGAAGGGGAAGTGAGGCGCTGCCCCCTCCCCTCGGCGGAAGGGAGGGGAGGAGGTGCCGCTCTGTTTCCCGGGATGCAGTCTGTTGTCGGTGGACACTTGGCCATGTGGGGCACCTGCTGCCCCAGCTTCTCCAGGGCTGCGTGCCACTTTGTGGGTTGGGGCAGGGACTTCCTGTTAGCCCAAACCAGCACAGGACGTCAGCGACTCATCTGGGGAGTTGCTGGTCTCATCTCTCAGCATAAATCCCGTGACCCAGGGGGCCTTTCTGGGCCGCCATCTCCCCTTAGTGGCTAACACCCTTGGGCTACGATGCGGTGGGGTAGCACTTTGGGGGAGCTTTGGGGTCTCCCAGCGGCAGGAGAAGCACTCGGGGGACAGGGGCAGCCCCCTCAGACCTTGACCTTCCACTCACCTCAACTCCTTGCAGGGACTTCCTGCCCCGAGGATCTGGTATCGTCACCCGACGCCCCTTGGTCCTGCAGCTGGTCAATGCGACCACAGGTACATAGGAGCCCAACTCCACCCAGGGTGAGGGCGCTGAGTGACTGGGCAGCCGCTGCCCCTTGCTGGGCCTGGATTCCCCAGCTGGACTAAGGGAGGCGTGGGCTGGTGTGTTTGGGGGCGTGGGGGAGGGGCCCAGGTGGGAAGCCAGGCTACGACGCCTGCTCCCCTCCCCCTGCCCGCTTTTGGGGTGCAGAATATGCCGAGTTCCTGCACTGCAAGGGGAAGAAATTCACCGACTTCGAGGAGGTGCGCCTGGAGATCGAGGCCGAGACCGACCGGGTCACCGGCACCAACAAGGGCATCTCTCCGGTGCCCATCAACCTCCGCGTCTACTCGCCGCACGGTGAGGCGGCCCCGCCCCTTTGCTGGCGCCCTGTCATCCAGACCTACTCCTGCTGCAGACTCCGCCCCCCAGCGACTTCCCCTCGTCCTCCTGCCCCAAGCTCCACCCTTCACGGCCCCGCCCACCTCTGGCCACGCCTCTGCCGACCGGCCCATCTCCCTAACCCCGCCCCCCTACGACTTCGCGCCTGAGCGGATCCTCTCCAAGCCCGGCCCTGTGCGGCAACTCCGTCCCGCGGCCACGCCCCTCGCCTTGAGCCCGCCCTCTTCGCCTCCCTGTCCAGTGCTGAACCTGACCCTGGTGGACCTGCCCGGAATGACCAAGGTGCCGGTGGGGGACCAGCCTCCGGACATCGAGTTCCAGATCCGGGACATGCTCATGCAGTTCGTCACCAAGGAGAACTGCCTCATCCTGGCCGTGTCCCCCGCCAACTCCGACCTGGCCAACTCTGATGCCCTCAAGGTCGCCAAGGAAGTGGACCCGCAGGGTAGGTTCCCACCAGCAGCTGGGGCACGAAGCCCCGGGGTGGCCACTTCCTAGTTCAAGATGGAGAGAGGTGAGGGGGCGGAGTACAATAGTGGTGTGGTCAGCGTGATGCCCTTAAAATCAATTTGGGGGCCAGTGCTCTGGCACAGCGGGCTAAGCCACTCCCTGCTACACTGGCATCCTATATGGGCACCGGTTCAAGTCCCGGCTGCTCCACTTCCGATCCAGCTCCCTGCTGATGTGCCTGGGAGAGCAACAGAGGATGCCCGAAGCTCTTGGCCCCTGCACCCACGTGGGAGACCCAGATGAAGCTCCTGGCTCCTGGCTTCAGCCTGGCCCAGCCCTGGTCGTTGTGGAGAGAACCAGGGAGATAGAAGATCTCTCTCCTCTCTCTGTCTCTCCCTCTCTCACTGTAACGCTAACTTTCAAATAAATAAATCTTTATTAAAGAAAAACCCATTTTGGCCACTCTAGAGAATGAAAGAGGGGAGAGAGGACAGGCAGGGAGTGGAGCGGCCAGGGATGAGGGGGGCAGGGAGGGAAGGGGAGGGTCGGGTCTCTGAGGAGGGGTGCAGATGCAGAGAGCCCTCTTGCTGCCCCCCCAGGCCAGCGCACCATCGGGGTCATCACCAAGCTGGACCTAATGGACGAGGGCACGGATGCCCGTGACGTGCTGGAGAACAAGCTGCTGCCCCTGCGCAGGGGTGAGTGGCCGCTCCCCTGCCTGCCCCGGCCCCCCCTCCCCGCAAGGCGGGCGGCCGCTGACCCTGAGCCCGCCCCCAGGCTACATCGGGGTGGTGAACCGGAGCCAGAAAGACATTGACGGCAAGAAGGACATCACAGCCGCCTTGGCGGCCGAGCGCAAGTTCTTCCTGTCCCACCCGGCCTACCGCCACCTGGCTGACCGCATGGGCACACCCTACCTGCAGAAGGTCCTCAACCAGGTAGGCGGCCAGGCCACAAAGGGGCTGGGCAGGCTCCGCACCAGGTGTGTTTTGCCGGTAATCAGCCTAGGTTAGCACGCTCCTCCCGCAAGGCCGAGCGCCCCGCCCACAGCCCCTGGCCCTGGAACTCCTGCAGGGTGGCCCTGATGAGGGCTTGGTTCCGGGGGCCAGGGCTGGAGTATACTCCGGCAAAGCTGTCGGCTCCCTCTGAAACTGGGGAGGGGGCGCTGGCTGAGGGACCACGGCCAGCATTCCCAGGGGCTCCTGACCGGGGATGAGGCGTGCGTGGGCGCGAGTCGGCAGGGAGTGCCGCAGACATAGGTTCCAAGCCCAGCTTTGTTGCTTCTGGTGGGGAGTATTTCAGCACTCTGCCCCTCTCTTTCTGCATCTGTAAAATGGGGCTGATGGTGGCCAGACCCTGTTTCACGGTGTTGCTGTGAAGGCCCAGAGCCAGAACTTGAGAGTTAACTTTAGGGAGACTTTGAAGGCACAAGGGAGCAGCCCAGCCCCCAGCCACTCCTATCCCAGATGTGCAGAAGCTATGATGTCGGCAGAAACTCACGTAGTCTCAGTGCAAACCCAGGGTTCTGGCTTCTATTGAAAAAAAATTTTTTTGAAGGATATATTTATTTATTTGAAAGGCAGAGTTGGGAGAGAAAGAGAGAGAGAATAAGCTTCCATCCACTGGTTCACTCCTCAAATGGCCACAACAGCCGGAGCTGGGCTGATCCAAAGCCAGGATCCAGGAGCCAGGAGCTTCTTCCGGGTCCCCCATGTGGGTGCAGGGGCCCAAGCACTTGGGCCATCTTCCGCTGCTTTCCCAGACACATTAGCAGGGAGCTGGATTGGAAGTGGAGCAGTCGGGACTCGAACCTCCGCCCGTATGGCTAAGCCACAGTGCTGGCCCCATTCTATTGAAAACTGAGTTACATGCTCATTAATTCGAATAATAGACCTGTGTGAGCACCTTTGAGCATGAGGCCCTGCCCCGGCAGCCTCAGTGGGCAGGGCCGTGGCTGTCCTCCGTTGCTCTCTGGCTCACCAAGTCCTGGCCTGGCTGGCATTCTGTCCCTGCCCAGCCCTGTGAGCCTTAACCTTTCCACCCCCACCCCCAGCAACTGACCAACCACATCCGGGACACGCTGCCGGGGCTTCGGAACAAGCTGCAGAGCCAGCTGCTGTCCATCGAGAAGGAGGTGGAGGAGTACAAAAACTTCCGCCCCGATGACCCAGCGCGCAAGACCAAGGCCCTGCTGCAGTGAGCCCCCCGCCCCCGACTGGGCGTCACCTAGCTGCCCCCGCCCCTGCACCTTCGATCCAGGGCCTCCCGGGCTTCTTCCGTGGGGCTGCTGCACCCCTCAGACCACCCCCTCTCCCCTAGGATGGTCCAGCAGTTTGCGGTGGACTTCGAGAAGCGCATTGAAGGCTCCGGAGACCAGATTGACACCTATGAGCTGTCCGGGGGCGCCCGCATCAACCGAATCTTCCATGAGCGCTTTCCCTTCGAGCTGGTCAAGGTCGGTTGGCAGCCCAGGGCGGGAGAGCTCTGGTGCCTCCAGTGGGTGCCTTTGCCGGCCCCTGGAGGCCCTGGGAGCGGGGTGGGCCCTGTCGCGAGCTCCCGGCAGCAGCAGCAGGCCCTGACCCCGCCTCCACCCCGCCTTCCTTGCAGATGGAGTTCGATGAGAAGGAGCTGCGGAGGGAGATCAGTTACGCCATCAAGAATATCCATGGCATTAGGCATGTACTGGGCCCGGGGCGGGTGGGGGCCGAGCCTAGCCAGACTAAATGAGGCAGTGGGCCTCCCTCAGGAAGGACCCATGAGCCCTGGGCCCCCATTCCTCGCACCTCAACGCTGCTCCGGCCCCCAGTCTGTGACAGGCTGCAGCTGGGGGAGGCAGTGGGAGGCCTGGGTCCTCCACTCCCTACAACCTGCTGGCCACCTTCGCTGGCCAGGAGCAGGGCCAGGAGGCTGGACCAAGTGGCCTGGGAAGTACCCTCTGGGGCTGGGCCCTGCCCCTCCCTGGGGTGAGGCAGCTCCCTGAAGCCCCGCCCCCCGGGGGGTTGAGGGAGGGCGGCACCTTAGGGTGGGCGGGGCTTCTCGCCTGCTGTAGACCAAACTCCCATTACCCAGAGTTGCCCTGGGCCACTCTTCCTGGCTGCTAGGCAGCTCCAAGGAAGGAGGATGGAGCAGCAGAAGGTTCCTTGAAAGCTTAGACCCTTCAGGGGGACGCAGGCCTATCCTGTGTTCCTTTGCCAACTCCGTTCAGCAGAAAGATCTAAGGTACCTGCCACGTGCCAAGCAGCGAGCGAGACGGAACCGGCCCTGCGCTCGGGCGGGTTCAACGCCAAGTTCAGCAGTTTGCGTGCTGATAACCACGTGGGCCAAGACCCAGGAAGAGCTCTCTCTCCGCCTTAAACTGAAATGCTCCATTCCTGGACGGGTGTCAGGGAGGACCCAGTTGGGCAGTTTGCAAATCCTTTCTGGCCGTAGAACCTTTCGTCCGAACGCTCTTAGAGGAAGCGGGCCGTGGAGCAGCCACGGACAGCTCCTCGTTAGATCCTCCCAGCCATTTTACAGATGGGGACACTGAGGCCAGGAGAGGGCCTGGGAGGCGGGGGGACCCAACGGGCAGGAGCCTGGGTTTGGGGCGGGGCCCTGGCTTGGCACCCCCGGCCGGTGCTGGCCTGTGACACTGCGCCCTTCTCCCGCTCCGGGCGTTCAGAACGGGGCTGTTTACCCCAGACATGGCCTTTGAGACCATTGTGAAAAAGCAGGTGAAGAAGACCCGAGAGCCGTGTCTCAAGTGTGTGGACATGGTTATCTCGGAGCTGACCAGCACCGTTAGACAGTGCACCAAGAAGGTAACTGGCGGCCTGGCCGGCGCCGCCTCTGCCTTGCCCGCGCTGCTGCCAGGCGCTCCTTCCCCAAGCCCGCCACGGCCTCGTGGGCAGCATGCACAGACCTCAGCGGGGCGGGGGGCAGGCCGCGCGGGCCAGGACGGGGCCCCTCCGCGGGGGGCGGGCCGAGTGCTCCTCCACCCGCTGGCCCCCGGCCCCGGGGACCAAGGGGCGGCTGAGAGCCCACCCGGAGCTCCTCCAGCTACGGGGGGATGGCATTTGGGGCACCCCGAGACCCCTCCCTGCCCTCCGAGGTAGGGTATCTTTGGGGGCTCCAGGGAGGGGTCTTCCGTGTAGGCACGGGAAGCAGAGGGCTTTTCTGGGTGCCGCTCTGGGCAGCCCGAGGGAAGCAGAGGGCCCAGGACTAGCAGGCACCCTGACTCCCCACTGCCTTCCCCCCTCCCCCCCACCCCTCCCTCAGGACCCTCCTCTTCCCTCCATCCACATCCGGCCGCCAGGAACAGAGCCCTGGCCCCATCTGCTGTGTCTTCTGAACCCCCCAGTTTCACGCGAGGCAGGGTGGATGGCGCCCACTTCGCAGCAGGAAAACTGAGGCTCAGGTCAAGAGGCTCGGCCCAGGCCATGTGAGCTAGGAGGTGGCAGAGCTGTTTGTCCAAGCCAGGGCTTGGGACCCCAGGTCCGGTGCTCACCAAGTCACCCCCAGCCTCCCTCGCTCTCCCCACTGTTGCCCCGGCCCCTCTCTCACCACCTCTACTCTCTCTGTCTTTCCTCTTCTGTCTCTTTCCATCTGTTGGGGCTGAGTTCTCCCAGACCCCTTTGGAGGAGAGGCAAGGGACTCCTTTCCCCTGAGGAGAAAGCAGAGGGCAGGAGCAGAACCGGGAGCCACAGGGTGTAGGTCGGGCTGCTGTGCTGCCCATGGTCCATGTAGGTGGAGCCCCCTGGAGTTGTGCAGTGTGCACAACCTGGGCAGCTGGACGCAGTAACCCCGGTGGACGTAGGGAGTGGTGCTGGGCTTTGGAGTCAGGATGAAGCCAATGCAGGGGGCACTGGGAAACTAGAACAGGATGAGTGGGCGGGGGCCTGGCCTTGTCCGGGCTGGGTCAGCTCCTTGGGAGGGACCCCAAGCTGTGGGAGATGGCACTGGGAGAGAGCAGGCAGCTCGCTGTGGCTGAGAGTGGGCCAGCACCGGGGAGAGGGTCTGAACTCAGGGCCCAGTGGAGCCTCGGACCCCGGCCACAGCCACGGAGCCCTGGGGGGACCGGCAGCACCGGGGCGGGCGCGGCAGGGAGCGCCGGCCCACACTCACGTTGCCTTCTGTTCTCTCTCGTTTTCTGTGTCGGTGTCTCTCTCTCTTCCCCATGGCTGTGCCTTCTCCCCGGCCCTGCTTGGCTTTCACTCCCCTCCTCCACCCCCTCCCCCGCTGCTCCCCCTCTGCCCCCGCCCCGCCTGGGTGCAGGACGGGCCTCTTCACGCCCGACCTCGCTTTTGAAGCCACAGTGAAAAAGCAGGTGCAGAAGCTCAAAGAGCCCAGTATCAAGTGTGTGGACATGGTAGTCAGTGAGCTCACGGCCACCATCAGGAAGTGTAGCGAGAAGGTAGGCCGGCCGCCGGGGGCCCTTCCTGGTGGCCGTGGCTGAGCGGACCTGGCCACCTCTCGCTGCCCCCACGTGGACCCAGACCCCCTGCTGGCTGGAGGACTTTGCTACCCCAAAGCGTCCTCGGTGGCCCCTTTTTCATTCCTGACTGCGGCCACGGGGATGCTAAGGAGATGACAGCTGTGCCCGGAGCTCCTACTGTGTGCCAAGCACCCGCCCTGGCTCACTGGCTTCTTCCTCAGCAGCCCTAAGAAGTGGCTAGTGTCTGCCCATTTTACAGATGACAAAACTGAGTCCCGGGAGGGAAAAGCAGGGGCCTGCAGATTCAGGGAGGGCTCTGGGGTCAGGGCCCTCGAAGTCAGTTTGCCTGAGAGCACAGTGAAGTCCACGGGTGCAGCGGGGCAGCCACCTCTGAGCTGTCTGGGAGCTCTGGCTGCCTTTTTTCTGTTGGTCGCCTATGGAGGATTTTGAGCCAGGTCGTCTGCGGCAGTGCCTTCCAGTGGAGAGTGACTTGCTTGTGGGCGCTTTGCCAGAATCCCAATGCCCCCTCCCCAGGTGGATCAGAGTCTAGGAGAGCGCTCAGCCCACCGGCCGGGGTGGAGTCTCCGCGGGGCGGGGCGCTGTGCCGGTGCCGGTCAGCCTGGCGTCCCTGGGTGCCGATGGACTCAGCTTGTCCGGCTGTCTTCTTTCCCTTGCGTCCACGAACAGTGCCACAGTGGCCTCCTCACAGGTGTTCCTGGAGCGTGCCTGAGCCTCTTCAGAGCCAGTTTCTAGATGGGGCGGGCCAGCTTCGGTCACTTCTGCAAGATTGCCCTCCGAACGCCGTCAGCAGCCTGTCGGCCCTCATCTCTTGCTCTGCGCCTTGGCTTGTTCGCACTCTTAGGCAATCACACCACGAATTTGTTCCCACCCTGCTTTTTTCTCCTAACGGTGCGTTGTGTAAGATGCCATTGCAGTCCAGGTGAGCACTGGTAGCTGCACGGGAGCCCGTAGAGCAGGTTCAGCGCGGTGTGCGTAGCCGTTTTCCTGTTGGTGAACGCTCGGTAGCTCCAGTTCTCCAGTTTAGCCCCGTGGCTGAGGTGCTGGTTAGGGTGCCCAAGCCCCTCCTAGGGCAGCCCTGGTGGCTTTGATTCCAGCTTTGGTTCCCAACTCCAGCTTCCTGTGACTGCAGATCCCGGGAGGCACAGCGATGGTCCAAGTGGTCGGGTCCCAGCCACCCATGTGGGAGCCCAGGAGGGCTGAGTTCCTGGCTCTTGGCTGGGGGCCGTGCTCAGCTCTGGCCCAGCCCTGGCTGCTGTAGGCGTCTAGAGATGGGAAATTTCTCTCTCTCTCTCTCTCTCTCTCCCTCTCTCCCTCTCCCTTTCTCCCTCTCTCCCTCTCTCCCTCCCTCCCTCCCCCTCTCTCCCTCTCCCTCTCTCCCTCTTCCTCTCTCCCTCTCTCCCTCTCCCTCTCTCCCTCTCTCCTTCTCTCCTCCCTCTCTCCCTCTCTCCTTCTCTCCTCCCTCTCTCCCTCTCCCTCTCTCCCTCCCTCCCCCTCTCTCCCTCTCCCTCTCTCTCTCCCCCTCTCTCCCTCTCCCTCTTTCTCTCTCTCTGCCTGTCAAGTAAATTAA